TTTGTGCTACTACACATTGTACTTTAGTGTCTCATCCAATTTTGACCCGTACGATATGCAAAATGTCGTATGCAGAAGTTTAAACACTCACAATCAAATTATGTTTGGTTGAATTTCTATTTATTCGCTGAGTTCAACATATTTGACAAACCTTAACATTATTTTGAAAATGCTTGCTGCCTTTCGCACTGTGTGAAAATGTCATGCTGAATATACCAAAGGAAATGATTTTTACTCAGAAAATCAACAAAATGTCATTTGACCGGGGTGCCCAAACTTTTGCATACGACTAAAGGATTGTTGGATCAACAGTTCATTTTCTTTACTGTAATGATTAAACCATAAATGATGCAAAAGAAGGCAGGGTTACTCTAGATCTAAGCTAATGGAAGAACTCGAGTGATCATTAGAGATACATACATATAACATAAAGGGGGGTTGGGCGGGCTGGGCAGTGTGTATTCATCTCTATGGGTTTCTAGGTGTGTTTCTTTGGTGAAGCATTTGGCAAACATGCCTGTATCTCTGCTTGTTCATGAGGTTTACAAGGAGAGCCATTAAGTCAGTTGTGCACTTCAATTAGGAACTGAAGACATTTCTTGAGTGCAGTGATCAGTTTCAGTGGAATTCTGATTGTGCTGCCTTATGAAGGCCTTTGTGTGGTAGAGAAGTTCCTGTTTCTTTATTTAGTAGAACACCAGGAAAGCAATGTGAGACTTCAGATCGTACAGATGAAATGTTGTGCGCAAAGTTTAGATCAAATGACATGTTTTATTGATTTTCTGAACGAAAATAAGTGAACACATCCTCTACAGAGAACACACCTCAGCACCTCAGTTTATTTGCTGAATTTAACATATTGGGGGAAAAAACACAACATAAAATGTGGCATGTGCAAAAGTTAGCAAGTAAATAAAAATTGTGCACTGCAATTTTCATAAAAATACCATGTTTAAGTTCCCTGTAGAGGATGTGTTATCTTATTTTCACTTAGAAAATCAACAAAATATGAAATTTGACTGGGAAGCACAAACATTTGTGTATAACTGCAAGGTCTGAAGTGTTTTGTGTTTAATTCATATTAGTTAAATTGATCAACTGGTGTCCAATTTTTGCGTTGTGGTTACGGTCATGGCCAATACTAAGGAATTTTTTTGATGTCAAACAATGACAATAACAGATACATGGCTAAAACATAAAGAATGGTTTACTTTCTGGAACACAACACTATGTACACTACGTTAACTTTTCATCAAACTGAAATCATGATATCTTCTTACATGGTATGGATTACAAGTTTAGTCTGCACTTTTGACACAATTTCTCTGATTCTTTTGTTGAGCTAACAAATAGTTAAGCAAAATATAAAGGTGCATCAAGGCATCACACCACTGGGGACGTGGGAGGGTAAGCATGGATTTTAATATACAAATGTGAGGGAGGGCTTTTCCTGTAGAACTTGTTTGCATTGTCGTCTTAGTTTCAGGAAGAGAAACAGCTTTGTAGAGTCTTGGGAAGAACACAAAATTACCACCAAAACTTCAGCACTAGTTTCATACTCTCTACACTGTAAAGAATTACAGTAACTTCTACAATAAAAGCTAGTTTGATACTTCTAACATGTCTTACAGTTTTATACAACTTCCCCTGCTGAATTCTCAGCAAACAATTACAGTAAAGGCAGATTATACTGCATCAAACGCCTTACTGCATATGGCTACTGTAAAATTACAGTAATGATATTGCAACATTACACAAAAACATATAATAAAGTGGGATTGTTTTTTACCAGAATTCAACAGGGTGTTGCATTTGCCCTGGTTCACAGTTACTGTAATTTCTACAATTAAAGGCAGTATGATATTTTTAACGTGTTTTATAGTAACAGCTTCCTCTGTTGAATTCTGTGAAAACATTTATAATACAGGCAGATTGTACTACATCAACCTCCTTATTGTACAGCTACTGTAGCAATATTGCAATAATACATTAAAACATAGAGTATGATCAGCTGTGAAAATTGGTACCAAAAATGCTTTGAAGTTTATACTTTAACTAGTGGTTAAAATTGGTTAACATTAGCCTAGCTAGCAAACACAGGCTAGCTGTCTAATGCTGCATTTGACTTAACTGGGAAGTGGGAACTTGGACATTTTTCAATTATTCAGCACTTTTTGGCTATGAATTGGGAAAAACACAGATGCCTCCAGGAAAGAAGTTAGGAACATTGTTAGGAACATGCTAGCCAGTTAACGTTAGTAGTATGAGTGATAACTTTAATGTTTGTGATGTTTTTACTTCCTCAAAACAGAGAACTTTATAGTTTAACCAACTACTGTGTTTGTATATTGACTGAACATCCAAAGCTCATTTAAAATGAGAGAAGTGGTTCTTTATCACTGCACTGTAAAAAATAGTTGTTTCAACTTTTAAAAGTTAGCGTTCAGGCTGCCTTAACATTTTGAGTTAAGTGAATTTTGAATTGTAAGTTAACAGAACAAGAATCTGTGTTTTATGCCATTTCAGCTTATTATTTAAAGTTCAAATAACTCAAAATTTTAAGGCAGCCCAATTGTTTTTTACAGTGTATTGACAGTGTGAGCAGCCATCTTTATTCAACATCACACGCTGAACTCTCAATCACATGCAGAATCTCGAGTTTCCATGTAGGAATTCCCAGTTGAGGGGGTGTTTTCTTTTAGTTTGTTTAGCTGGAGGTCTGAACACAGCATAATGCTAGTTTACCCAGCACAAGCTGTACCAACATAAGGATATTAAAGTGAGTTCATGAACTTTGAGTTTATTATACAGCTTCAGCTTAAACACTGACTTTTGGAGCTTGTACATGCTTGAAACAATGGCTCTTCAAGGATTCTTAAGAAAATGGTTCTATGTAGTACCATGAACATTCAAAAGACCCTTTGCATGATTAAAGGGTTCTTTGCATCATTAACGGTTCTTAGATTGATAGAGAATGTGCTGTATATTGTTCTGCATAGAACCTTTTTAAAAAAGGGATCTATACAGCACTCAAAAGGGGTTCTTCTACTGTAACAAGCTTAACATCGCAATGATAGAAGAGCCCTTTTTGGTGCTTTATAGAAGCATTTTCAAAACAGTTCTGAATAGAATCTTCTCCAGCATGTTCTCCATCAATCTGAAGAACCCTTTCACGATGTAAAAAACCCTTTAATCATGCAAACTGTTCCTCAAATTTGTTCTTGGTACTACATAGAACCATTTTCTGTACTTAAAAACCCTTAAAGAACTCCCTTTTTTAAGAGTGTAAGACACAAAGGTAACATATTTTACTTTGCATATTGCAGACTCTTTAAAATGTATTTCAGAGAAATACAAATTCATTTTCAGGGAAAATGTCGGCGAATCTTCCGCCTGTCACCACTTTAAAGGGAAACATGGTTGAAAATGTGTGAACCATCAAATATCTTGGTTTGGTAGTAGATAGTTCTTTGATACTTAAGCCTCATATTAAGCATTTGGTAAAGAAATTGAAGATTAAATTTTGATATCCATCAAATCTAAAAAGAAACTTGTTTCTACTACTGTTTTGCCAGCAATTGATTGTGGTGATGTCACTCACATGCACGCACCTTTGTACTGCTTACCCACATTAGATATTGTTTATCATGGTGCTTTAAGATTTATTACTAACTGTTGGTCGATTACTCACCACTGTGTTCTTAATGAAAGAGCAGCTTTGTCCTCATTAACTACATGTAGAGTGATTCACTGGTGTACTTTGGTTTATAAATCTATACTTGGTTTATTGCATTCTTATCTATGTAATATTATCTGCATCAAAAAGGAACCGGGAATTACAGTCTGTGCTCTTAAACTGTGTATCTTTACAAGATCCCTACTCAACATACTGAATTAGGAAATCAAGCTTTTAATCATGCCACACCATCTGACAGGAGTTTGTTACCGAAAGACTTAAAACTTCAGAAACTTGCGTCATTCAGTATTTTTAAAAACATTTAAACAAACAGTGGAAGTGTTTATCAGTGTTCAAAATGATTAATTATGGGTTGTTGATTATTGATTTTTCTGTTTCATGTTTGTAATGTGTACTTTGTTTTGTGGGAAAAGTTGTTATGTGTTGCTGCCTATCTTGGCCAGGTTTTTCTCCTGGTTAAATAAAGGTAATAATAATTTAAGATGCAATTTACCTGCAATTTCAAAATTGCTGTTAAAACTCTTTCTTTTCCTAATATGTGTGCACATACCTATAATATTTAGGAAAAAGAAGATATTACAATAATGCACTGCAGTTACTATGTAGTTTTGAAATTGTGAGTTGTTGTGGTATAATGCATAATCTACAGTAGCTTTTTATCATACAGTGCTTTGTAAAGACCCTGAACTAGCAGTCCTAAGCAGGCCACTCAGTAAAGGAAGTGGAGTTAAACCGTATGACCAAAACATCACAGTGTGAAATCTAACTAAAGCATATTTTGTTTCTTATTATTAGAACAGAAGCCTGTAGCTGAGGAGATGTATTATCCAGGGTCTGGCTTTTAAACACTTCTTCATAATTCAACAGCTAAAAATCAACACTGCAGCTCTTAATATCATCCAAAATGACCCACAAACATTAAATAAATGCAGAAATTCAAAAGTTCTCATTTGAAATATATATTTATTTTAACAATATTCATTAAAACAATGAATAAACACAGGTCAGCTGTTGTTTTGTGTTGTTTCCTTCATGATATCAAGTGCCGTTTCCTTTCGTGATATCAAGCAGAGTGGTCAAACAGGTAAACGCCGCCATTTAAATTTTGTGCACTCAATCCAATAGACACATTCTACCTAAATAAGAGTCTGTGAAGAAAAAAAACAAACCTTCAAAATGTAATTGAAAGGCACAAATATTACAATCTTCGTTTTGCAGTTTTTCACATTGTGATTTCCATTCCTGCAACCATGGACATGTCCTTGGATGTCATTCATACAACATGAGGTTAGCATGGCTCATCTTAATAGTGCATGGCTACTTTTTTTTGGATTTTGTTTTTTAAAACAAGACCGACCGTGTCTTCCGCACAAAGGAAAGAAACTAGAAAACAAAAAACACAATACATAATAAATAAAGCACATCTTCATATTCACATCTGTACAAACGTAATAAAAAGCACTGAGCAACCGAGAAGGATATTTACAGAGGCACTATGTACACACTTTTTACAGTTAAGACTTGCTGCATTCACATCAGGTTAGAAATTCTTCATTCACTCTCATAAGAGAATCTCATCATGGCTTTCTTTGTCCTTCCCAACCTGACTTCAAGAGTCAGGATCAGCTGTCTGCATTTGGTGGACAATTTGAGAACATCAGCAGCCTAGTTATCGTATGTGATGCAGTTACACTTATATATTCATGTGAAATTTCTCCCAAAAGAAAAAAGATTCTTCATTAAAATGGCTCTCTCCAAACACAAGTTGAGAAAGGACAGTAACACAGTGAACAACGCCTGCTTGGAAACCTGAGGAGAAGCTTGATATACAGCATTTAAGGCAACATGTAATCTTCTCATCATAAGGCATGTTTCAACCAAGACGAAGAGATAAGCCACCTATTTAGCTAAGCTACAGATGGAACTGTACAGGCACACAGACATCTGAATGCACAATGGTAACAAAAGAACAGATTGCTCACTAAAAAAGCTTGTGTTTCATCTTCGTTCTTCAACAGAGGTAACGGACTGTGCGCTTCATGTGCAAAACACCAGCAAAACTGTACCTGCCCATGCTTCTCTTTCCCTGAATAGCTCTGTTTTGTAAAGGTCCCTTTGGAACGTTTATGTACTGGTAGGCTAAGCTAGTCCTGTTCGTCTTTTTTGGTGCTACGATGACCCTGTCAACCTCGACTTTAAAAGAACAGCTTGACCGAGCATGCTAACTTGGCTAACAGTGGATAAAAACTAGCCCCTACCTGTTGATACGATGTTACAATGCTAATTTGTTGCTGTTCGATTTCATTTACTGCTAGCAGCATTAGCCTATTACTGAACTATCCTTTTAATTCCAATCTAGTGTTATGTAATCTACTGCAATTTAAACTGTGATTCAGGAAGGACCGTTGCAAGAAAAAGTTAACAAAAAAAGGGAGTATCAAACACGTACAATGTGTAGTGCAAGGTAAAGAGTGTTAAACCTTCATATATGAAAAGAAATACAACCAAATATTACTGATAATTCAATCATATGTACTCTTGTGGGTAACACTGAGTTTACATGCACTTAATAATCTGATAACTACAGAAAATCAGATTTTGTCAGTAATCCAATCAATGCATGTTTTCGCACTTGCGCAGACTGAGAAATCTGAAAGAAATCAGAGTAAGAGTTTACATGCACTTTTGAGTGCTGTATCTGATTATTGAGCTAAAATCCAGCTTCTTTATCAGATGCAGTATGCTGTTTGCACTGACCATTTGAATAATCAGATAACTGCAGAAATCCGAGTATTGTCAGATTATTGAGTGCATGTAAATGCACTCACTTTTGTGTGAAGCCCTGAGATGTTATTGGACGGCAACAGTACAAACATAACACATTCATAAGTGAACATACACATTCGTAATCGCTTGAGTGGACAGTCACAGTCTTTTACGTGCCTTTGCAGTGCCCGCATTCTCCACCTTCAACTCATATACAGTTAGACAGCATGGCTTTTTCTTGAGTGCCTTCGGCTCCATAAAGCTTATGAATGTGTCATGTGGTCCTCATGCAGAGCTTCTCAAAAAAGGCTTACTGAAGACATCCTTCATTTAAGATCTTTCAAAATATGAAGTCCTTCATATTATGGTGGAATTTAAATTCTTTCTCCAAGATACGGATGGAATCTCCCGCTTGAGTTTGGTCCCAAAAATTAAATATATGCTAAATTTACAATCCAACATGAGTGTGGTGGCTTCATGGTGATGACATTCTTTAATGTATGCTTCAAGTTCTGGATTTTTCCTTCACATTCTGTTGTGCAGTGGACAAGGTAGGAAAACGGAGTATGCAAGAAGAATCTACAATGATCTATGACCTTGCTCTTCAGATTTGACTTCCCACAGGGTTGTTTGCATCCTGCTGAGAGAGTCGTCATGCCATGTCCTCCTCGTCATCCAGACTTAACATCTGATGCTGAGAGAGAAAGAGGGAAAAAGAGAGAAGGGATGAGAGATGGCACACTCTCACTTTCTCTTTTCCGATACCAATATGTCCTTGAATATGGACACCGATCCAATATTAATTCTTTAAAAACTACTACTACTAGTTTAGCAAAAAATCAGATTATATAAACCAAATGTAGTTGATCAGCCAAGACATGTTTGGTGTCTGAAGTTTGCTTCTTTAGTTTTGCACTGGAGCTACAAGGCTAATGTTGCTAAGAAACAATGAAAGCTTATATGCCACAAATAAGCATCGTGCCCAAGTCATGACACACTCGGCTGAAGCCATGTTGCTAAAGGGGAATTCCAGTATTTTTATAAAGTCATACAGAGTGGTTTGGTGTGAAATGCTCCGTTCTAGAGAAAATTACAGAGTCAGAATTGTTCATAGTGGTGGTGATAGGAACCAGACGTCCAAGAAGTTTAATACCTCTAAAAGCTACATTACAACAAGTTGCTAAATACACTGCCTGAGGCCAGAGACATTGTTTGATTATAGTTTTTGAGGTAAGCGTTTGGACTAAAATGTGTTTTTAAACTATTCAAGGCAGGGAGGTACATGCATGTTTGTCCCAAACAACAAAAAATAAGATTTCTACTATTTTCCATCATCAACAGTACATATAAAAACTCAGAAGACATGTGTAGGTTCACTGCCCATTTTGTATTGTTATTAAAATGGTTATATTTGTATAGACTCTGCAACCCCTAATTACTATCACAACCAGTGTAAATAAATCTGAGTTTGTAAGTTTCTCGACAATGAACCAACTGCTCTAATATATATATTTGTATATATATATATATATATATATATATATATATATATATATATATATATAAATAGTAGTTGCAGCCACCTTGAGGCCTGAATTTTGTCCATTTTGGCACCAAACATTTCACATCTTGACTGACTGAATACATTTGGGGTAAAGGGAAAATTGTGCAAATTAGATTTTTTGCCAATCTGTTGCTTTGAGGGGAGAATGGCCCAACAGCACAGTCTGTGCTGGCCTTCTTTTATCGATACTGCCAAAGAAAACAGTTATGTAACAAATAGGACATTCGCTGACCCTCCACGCTGCAAACTTCAATTTATCTCCACCAAAAGTAAAACAAACACCCGTGTTCTTTCTGCACCATGACATTCACTTTATACAAAGCAGAGCATTCACCGCCGGAAGCCTATTGGCTGTGCAGGTGTTATATGAGCCTGTATGGAGTGATTTGGTCTTACCGGGGGGTAGACGTATCCGTCTTGGCTGTTACTCCTGCAGATGTGCACTTGGTCCTCTGTTGTTTTCTGATAGACGGGGTTTTCAAAGTGGATGGTGTTGGTGTTCTTCAGTCTCCAGTGTCGCCATAGCAACACGGCACCAAACAGAGTCAGACAAATCGCAACTGCAAGAGAGAAGAGGAGATGGTATATATGAGTTAACCCTTTATTTGAGTGCATCTTAACTCTGCTCACATGCACACTGTGAGTTAATTCAATTCAGATTTTATGCCGTGTAATACAAAATCATATACACACCTATTGGCAGGATGACGTAGAGAGCGACAGGGTGTTGGGAATGGCTAACAACTGTGACATACTCGTGGCTTGAGCCTACAGAAAGAAAAAAAAACCTATTATAATACTGACATGCAAAATGCTTGGTACATTATTGAAATGCACAATATTCCCATAAACAATCTAGAATTTCAATCAAAATTATTAAATGGTTAACAAATAGTTGTATCATCCCTAACAAAAAGTCATAAATATGGCACACGTAAAGTGTCTAAAATGTGTTCACAAGTTAACATACGAAACATGATGTGAACAACATTTGATCATGTGTGACATGTCATGCCCTGTAGCGGAACATGAGATTACTCATTTTTTACACATGCTTTTCATGTCATCACATGATTTTTCACATGATCATGTGAAATGTGAAATTCAGGTGTTTATACCCCCTGCGCCTCACCCCTATCAATTGTTTTCAGAAAAGTGATTACATACAACTGTCAGCGAAATGTTTTCACAGTTTTACATTATATACAGTAGCTATTACCTTCATTAGGAGTAATCTCAGTCTTGACAGCTGGCTGCTCATCTCTGCTTGTGTCAGAGGGAAGGTTGTTTCTTTCATTCTTTTGTTTAGTGGTAGTAGTGGTGGTGTCAGGCCTGACGGGTGGTCTGGGGGAAGTCCTGGCTGGGACTCGGCGTGGGACCACTGCTGTAGTTCCTGCCTTTACTGTCTGATCATCTGTATGAACAAAAGTGGATTTGGCACTTTAGATTGGCACAAAGACATGAGCCGTTTTCATAAGGATAGATTACTGACTGCAGAAATAAGGATTGTGTTGGGTTTATTACTGGCAGTTACCATTTGCATAGTACTAAATCCATTTGTACCTAAACGTTTTATGCACCCTGATGTTCTTACAGTGACCTATTTAAACAGAATCAACATTTATTTTCGCAAATTCTTCAGAACCCCTTCATTCTACATGTTGCATTTAATTTGGCTCCCTAATGTCCACTTTGTGTGGTTTTATGTACCAAAAACAGTTCTGACTGATCTCTGTTCTGATTGGCTGCACTGGATTTCGCCTCATTCAAAAAGCAGTACAGGCTGAAACACCCCTTAAAACCTCTAACATGACTGGGCAGAGCTAAACTGCTGTAGGCTAAATTGGCAGATATATGTAAATGTCTTTCATGACATCACAAAAACAATTCATTCAAAATGAGCTGTTTTTCCAGCTTAGTTTCAATATAAGGATCATATGGACATTTACATGCTCAATCAAACTCTTTTATTTCACAAAAAAGGGGAAAATTGGCCCTATAAGATTAACTTGAAAATTTGCATGTAGTTACTGAATAATACGACATACGATGTAATAATCCTGATAAGGCGTTAATACTTTACTAGACTTCAATAAAGGAGAAAATAGAGCTATGAACAGTGTGAACTTCAGCGGGCTTAAATTGCAAACAAAAAGCTGTAGAGAAAAAATGCTGGGAGACACATTAGGCAATGCCTACCTTCCACACATTTCCTCATGTCAGGGCCCAGGACCATGTGATCAGGGCAGGCGCAGGTGTATTTGGGTGAGTGCTGGTTGAGGTGTGGAGCCGGAAGACACAGGTACTCACAGCCTCCGTTCACTTGATTACCCTCCTTACACCAGTTTGTACCTGCAGAACAGAACAACAGCTATAGCAAGATCCAACAAACACAATACATGAAGCTCTTCTGTTAATCTCTTAAACTCTAGGCTTATTATTCATGTGTTAATTGTAAATTCAGTAGCTATAATGAACCTACTATGACAGGTACATAGTTATAAGAGTGACTAAGAGATATCTGGTCCTGTTCTACCTGGGTCCTTAGAGTTTAACCCCTTAATGACCATACCTGAATTTACATTTCCCTTTGTTCTGTTGTTCTCTGAACTTGCCTGAGCACAAATCGGATTCAAATCAAGCAAACAGCCAAGCTAAAAAGTGCTCAGTGTATAATATGAAATCTAGTTTTTGTTCACATGGAACTAACAAACTTGACTGTACATAAAAGTAGATCAATTAGATTGTAGTAAAAACAACTTTAATGAGTAATATTACAAGATCATCCAATGTATTTTATTTAATAACAAAATTTCAGCACTTTTCATCAAATCCTGTGACATTTTTCTTTATTATAGTTCTTCTTCTACTTATAATTTCTTTATTATAAGTATAGGAAGTGAATTAGTGGGTTTAAAATGTATCTAGAAGTCAATAGTAAAGACTATTTAGAGTCCAAAACATTCTACAAAAGCTGATGTGTTTAAAGTATGAGTGAAAGTTAATAAAGTGTAACATTTGGTTACCGTTGGGTTGTTTAAGGTCGTGGTACAGCACAATGTCCTCAGGAGACATCAGGTTCTCCGCCACTCTCACTATGTCTTTTCCTGTCAGACGGTTGGCACTCATGATGCTTTTACTAGACACATCTGTCCAGAACACTTTCTCCTATGGAACGAAACACAAAAGGGAGAAAATCCAGTTCAGAAACGTAGGATGGTTCTAAGATCTAAGATGCAAAGGCTTTTTACTTGGTACTGTTAGCCTACTTGGAAAGTTGTAAAGTGTGTGAAAGTCTTTGGACATGCAGCCACGTGAGGGTTTTATTGATTCATTCGGCATGAGAAGGATTATAGAACGTGTTCAACTCAAAGTAGGCCAACATGAAAGAGTCTGACACAATACTAATCCCTCTGAAACATTCACGGCCAAATGTGAGGATTAAACTGATGTGCTATTCATTTGGAATGTAATTTACTGATCCAGTAGCTGACTTAAGTTAAAGTTATTCACTATTTAGAGCTTATAAACACTTAATTGGTTGTTAATTCCTGCTGAATAACTGCAGTGTGGATTGCAGCTGGATTATTTAAACTGTGTACAAATACACAAACGCACCTCAAAGACGGTCAACGAGAGTGGATGGGCCAGCTTGCTCTCGTCGATGATGAGTGTGTGACGCTGGCCGCCGTTGACCCCGATGCTGGAGAGCGTGTGCAATTTGGAGTCCACCCAGTACAGACGCTGCTTCACCATGTCTAAAGATACAAACATTTACACTTTAGGCAAGAAGGTTTAAACAAAGATCCCATAAAACTGAGGCGTAAAGGGCTTATATCCTTCATTTTTCTTCTATTTTATTTTTTCTTGAGGTCTGCTTATGACGTCGGTGCAGTTTTATGTACCAAAAACAGCCAGAATTTATTTTTACAAGACCATTTTCCAAGCTCTCTTTACCCCCTTAGAACTAAGGGGGCCATTTCTGTTATTGTGCATTTAAGACATTAAGGTATACGCAGATGAGGTCTGTTCTGATCGGTTGCCCTGCATTATGCCTCATTCAAAAGGCAGTCCAGGCTGAAAAACTCCTTATAGTTTAATCGTGAACGGTTAGGCTAAAGTGTTTATAATGAGATATATTTGCGGTTTAGTTTTCATATATGGACTATGTGGACTGGGGAGTGAACAGTCCATTGTTGATGGAGAACAGTGTTGATGGAATAAATTTTATTCATATGGAAATTCATAAATTAAGTAAATTCAATTCATTTTTTTAGTTATGGGTTTATTAATGAAGAGCAGTGTTATTAGAAAGGCCACTGCTGATGAAACACACAAAAACAGTCTAAAGTAAGCCTAGAAACTGCATACTCACCCAGTGTGATGCCATTAGGCCAGATAATATTGTCAGTGACCAGAGCTGTGCGGTCAGCGCCGTTCAAACCACTCTTCTCAATCCTGGCAGGATGTCCCCAGTCTGTCCAGTACATGAAGCTACAGGGACAATATAACATACACAGCATTTACTAATTGCTTGACGTATTCACTTGTAATGTAGTTAATATAAGGAATAGCTTGGCCAGACATGCTGATGTGGCTAACAGTGAATGGAAGCTGGTAGCCATCAATGCCTTAAGGGGTGTTATAATAAAATAGGTCATCTCATTAACCCTTATGAGGTGTTTAGAATGGTTCGTCTTTTCAACTGAGACTCTTGTTTTCCAAACGTGAGTAATACTGTTTGTGCATCAACAGTAACTCACTTGTGCTCTGGGTCTACAACAATGGCCCGTGGCTTTTTCAGACCCTCTGTGATAAGGGACTTGCGCTTCAATCCGTTTGTGGTTGCCACGGATATGAGTCCTAAGCTGCTGTCGGTCCAGTAGATGTTGCCATGGATCCAGTCAACGGCCAAGCCTTCAGGGGCAGAAATACGGCTGTCAATCACGGTGCTGTGGTGGGAGGAGTCAGCAGCCTGGTCCACGGAAGTGCTGGGAAAGAGGCAAAGCCGAAATGAGTATGAGGACAGGATACTTACTTAAACTGTACAATAATGTTCAAACTGAGGAACAAAGACTGCAATCAAACCTCCATAAAGCATTAAGAATGGCTTGTTATTGAGTTATTCACCTTAAGATTATTATTTTAGATTATTACAAATTACTGATCAAGTACTGTGAAACTAGTATTTGTTATGTGTTTATGAAAATTACAAGACAGGGGATTAAATAAATAGTTTGAATAGTCAAAAAAGCTAATATTTCTAAAAATAAAGGGAAACAGCCAGTAATTAGCATTATGCTAAACACATCATGCTAATTGGTGGCTACTTGCTCCCATTCACTGTTAGCCACATTAGCATTTTTTGGCCAATCTATTACTAACATTAAGTGTATTATATTAAGTTAGTAGTGTAGTTAATGGATCAGTTGATTATCTCTATATTATAATATTTTTTTCTCTGTAGCTTCATGTAGCCAATTAGTTACGTCTTTGTGTGAGATTGCCATAAAATGGTCCTGTTATATATCTGTGGTCAACAGAATAGGACCGGATGCTCTTGCTCACCTGTAGATCTTTTTGTGGGAGAGATCGGACCAGAAAATCCTCCTGCTGGACATGTCCATGTCAAGCGCCACTGCGTTCTTCAGCCGGGGGATCAGACAGGTGTACTCACTCTTATCCAGCGTCATCTTCCTCACCTCATGACGGTTGGTGAAGTATAAGTACGGGACATTTCCTGAAGGAGAAAGGAAAAGCTATGAGTGTTTTCCACCTCTTCTACATATATAATCCATTCAACATTTGTGTTTGTAAGTAAAAGGGGAGGTATTTTAATATGACTTTGAATTTGACTCTTGTTTGTAGAAAACAGAATGAGAATAAATTTCAGCATTATTCTTCATGTAAATCGCTATATAATGTTATGTGTTTGCATTTAAATCATCATGTGTTGCAAAACCAGGTGCGTTAGAGCAGTGTACTGTGTAGTGCTATATCAAGCAACATACCTGCAACAGCTTTGCACTCTTTGGTCATGGGATCCATCTCGTAGCCCTCCTCACACTCACACTTAAAGCTGCCCTCCAGGTTCACGCACACCTGAGAGCAGGTGTCAGGGTCAGCACACTCGTTAATGTCTGAAGACAGAAAGAGAGAGAGAGAAAGAGCGTCAGTCATAAATTTTATTTTCTTGCATCAATATAACTGTAGTTGGATAATTAGCTGATGAGCTGATCTGGGCCTGCTAGAGATTTTCAGGTGCCTTTAGTTTATGTTTGGAAAAGAAAGCTGCCAAATGATTATTTAGGCAAAACCTTACTTTTTAAAACCTTTTAAAAAGTAAGCAAACTGGCTGCCTTAAAATGTTATTTTAGTAAACTTTAAATACTAACACAATTTTGTTCTGTTAATGGGCCCATGCTGTTGAAAAAAATAATATAGTTTGATAGTCTATACAGTCCATATATGGAAACTAAGCTGCAAAAACAGCACCTCTACATATATCAACCTATTCAGCCTATAGCAGTTTAGCTCCACCCATCCATGATGAAGCCTGGAGTGCTTTTTGAATGAGTCGCAATACAGGGGAGCCAATCAGAACCGAGCTCAATTACATATTCTAGCTTTAAAGGCACAGAGCCTGTTTAGTTCTGAGGGACAAAGACAGGTTGGACATGGCATGTAAAAATAAATTTTGACTTTTTTGGTGAGATAAAAACACACTTTGCTCTACAAGCGGAAAAAATACATACAAGAAAAATGTAGGGTTTGAGCCCTTTAACTTGTTTTCTGTTTGAATTTTACGACAGCCAGTTTACTTCCTTAAAGGTAAAATAACAAATATCTTTTATGGTGATTAAGCTAACTTGCAAAGCCACAAAGATGTTGGCACCACCTTCACAGCGTTTGTTGTCCACCAGGCGATACCCTGCAGGGCAAAGGCACTCATAGCCGATCTTCAAGTCATTACAGATGTGAGAGCAGCCACCGTTATTTTCAAGGCACTCGTTGGTATCTGGGGAGAAAACAAAGAGAGAAAGTGTGGGTGAGCAATTTAAACTCCAGAGCCTCTATTAATTTCTCTTTCGCTTATATCATATTTCCTACATCTGCTTATGTACTCCACTTATTCCCTCTGTTTCTATCTCCCCTGTCTTGGCTAGATACTCTGGCTCAGTCTTCTGGCCTTGCCTGACAGTTTTCCAGTAACGGATGGGATGTAAATTCCAGGAAGCCCCTGATGCTGGTTCCCTAGTGTGTGTATATGGATTGTAATGATAATGATGGTGATGCACTTACTGCACTCTTTGAGGGGCTCATCAGACCAGTCTCTGCAGTCTCGCTGCTTGTTGCACACTTTGTCCATGCTGATGCACTCTCCACTGCGGCACTGGAAAGTGTCCGGACCCTCGCACTTACTCACTGCAGAAACACAGGAATGCCAAACCATTAGCATCAGAATCAGAATCACTTCTATTCACCAGTGTGTGTTAAGCGCATTGACATGAATAACAGAGTTTCACTGGACAAGTAGAAAAATGCATTTCCTGAAGAAAGTGAGGAGTAAGTAGGAGGTATTTTTGAGAATATTTAGGCAGCTGTTAGGTGGTTGCCAAGTTGTTGCTAGGATATCTCTTGATGGTTGTTATGGTATTTTAGGTAGTCAGTCGGTTGTTCATTAGTTGTTACTAAGATATCCAAGGTGGTTGCTACGATGTTACTAGGTGGGTGCTATTGTGTCAGGTGATTGCTAGAGCATGGCTAGGTGGTTGCTAGGGTGTTGCTAAGCAGATCATATGTGATTGCTTTATTTTCGCTGAAGTATTAGAGGTGCTGGTTGCTAAGAGTTTGCTATCGTGTTCCAGGTGGTTGCTAAGATATTGTTAGGTGGTTGCTATTGTATTAGAGGTGGTGGCTAAGTTTTTGCTGTATGGTTGCTATGTACTGGTGGTGATTGCTAGGGCATTGCTAGATGGTTACTCTGGTATCTTTCATAGTTCCTAAGGGGTTGCTACGTGGTTGCTATGGCATCCCAGGTGGTTGCTAGGATGTTGCTAGTCTATATGAGTCATGGTGACATAAGCAGAGCTATGAAAGTATGTAAAGTGTAAGGAATGTAGTTACGAGAGTGAGGAATATATGTGTGCAAGAAAGGGAGAGAGAGTGAGAACCTGTGTTAAAAACTGCACTCACCAGTTGCACAGTCATTCTCATCACTCATGTCCCTGCAGTGATACTCGCCATCACACTGCCGAATGCCAGGAATACAGGTACCATCCAGACATGTGAACTCATTAGGCTGACAGGTGGGTGCACCTGCAGACAAACGCAGGTATTAAAGGACAGCAGAATTTCATTGTGCATTAGCTTTTATAAAGAGGAATCAGTGGAGAACTAAACTAGTTCCCACATCAACACCAATACAGAGTCCTTGGGCAAGACTCCAAACACTACATTTGCCTGTAACTCTGTAAACTGTAGGTGACTCTGGGTAGGAGTGTCTGCTCAATGCATAAACGTATTACAAATACTTAAAAAACTAATCAACTACATATATTGTTACAAAGATAACATAAGTTCTGTTTAGTTGTATTTAGTGCAGTGTGTGAACTGCTGAATAAAAATCAATGTATGCATAGTTTTTGATAGTATTTTTCAGTGTGGCACCACTAGGATGTTTTTCTGGTACCAATTTATCAAATCTCAGAAAAAAAAAAATATTGTGATTCATATTGTCTATGAAAATGTCTTCAACGATATAGCATTTTTGCCATATTTTTACCACCCCAACATCACCAACTAATTCATACAGCCCTATAGAACACTGCTTCTCAATTACATTATCATAATCCTATTTACTGTACTACTGTCTTTTTTGCACTGATATTTTATTGTTCCAACTGAACCAATCTTATGCTGAACTCACTGCAGTTGGCTTCATCTGAGTGGTCAATGCAATCGAAGCTCCCATCACAGCGCCACATGATGTGGATACACTCTCCATTGCTGCAGTGGAACTCCTGATCGTGGCAGGGCTTTTCCGGGGCCTTGTGGCCGCAGTTCTGGGGCCATTCGTCTGAGCCGTCAGCGCAGTCAGCGTCCCCGTCGCATGCCCACAGCTGGGGCACACACACTGAGTTGTTGCACTGAAAGGAGCCAGAGGTGCAGGTGGGAGGGGCACAGGAGGCCTCATCGCTGCCATCCGAACAGTCCGACTCATCGTCGCACACAAATGACGCAGAAATACACTGACCATCGTTACAGCGGAACTCTTCTTCCGTGCAGTTCTTTGGAACTGGAGAGAGATACAAGAATGACAGTGAGTTAGACACTGGGATGTTAAAGGGGTAGTTCAAAATCAAATCAAAAGCAGATCTGATTTGTTAGGTGCTTGCTATGGCATTCCAGGTGGTTGCTAGTGTGTTGCCAGGTGTTTGCTATGATATCTGTGGTGGCTGCTATGGTACTGGGGTGGTTGCTAGAGTGTTGCTATGTGGCTGCTATGATATTGGTGATGATTGCTAGGGTATTGCTAGGTGGTTACTATGGTATCTCTCATGGTTGCTAGGGGGTTACTATTACTATGGCATTCCAGGTGGTTTCTATGATATCCCAGATGGTTGCCAGGGTGTTGCTTGGCTACAATCAGTAATTTGAAAGCTACCTTCAAACCTAACTTTTCTGCACTTTTTCTATTTAAGATCATTTAATTTGACAATTTGAAGAAAATCTGAGATATTTATGCATGCAGCTTGCACCATGCTACTGTTACTGCAAAACTAACCTGTCACGGCTGATTGATATATTGGGAAAAAGAGTGTAAATTTGATTTTTCAATGCAAGGCCTAAATAAACATACCCCAATAACAGTTGAAATGAATGAATGAAATTTTACTTTGAGTCATTAAAGACCCACTCTAATTAAAACATAACATCTTCCCATTGGTTATCCATGCTCAGACCTTGGCAGTGGTCCCTTAAAATCATTTGAATCTGTCAATGTTGGCCACAGTGAAAAGCATCAGCATGTAAAATGGGTGCTTTCTGTGAGCCACCATGCTTTCTGTCACTGTACAGGCTTCTTCATTATTGAATGTACTGCGCAGGGAAGGGGTCTGAAGCACAACCCATGCTACGTGCAGTTACACATATCCACCAGAGACGTCTCCAAATCCCCAAAACCTACATAGTGTAATTTTAAACAGTAGAAATAGAAATAGAAATAGAGGACTGAAACGATGATGTCATACCACAGCCTTCCTCGTCGGCCCCGTTCTCGCAGTCAGACTTTCCGTCACAGCGCCACCTGAGGGGCACACACTGGTTCAGCCTCCCGCCACACTGGAACTCTGACTGCTGACACATCTTCTGGCCTGGACAAGAGATGAAACAAATTAACACAGAGACAAAATCAGACTGCAGTTCAGTTCAGTACAGTGGACTGTGTTCGCTATAAATGGTAAAAGAGACAGTCGAGACCAACTGTAACATTTTCTGTATTTTCCCAATCTAACTCATCAGGTCAAAGATGATGATGGTAGTCATGAAGGGCATGTGACTCACTGCAGGTGGCTGGCAGCTCATCAGTTCCATCCCCACAGTCGTCCATGTCGTCACAGACCCAGCGGGTGGTGATGCATTTCCCATTTCCACAGCGGAACTGCCGCTGGCCACAGGTAGCAGCGCCTGAAACAGAAAGAGCAAAAGGCGACCGTTACTGGAAATGCCACAGGTAGCCACAGCATTAAAGAAGTTCAATTTTACAAACTTTCAAATCACATTAGTAGGTCTACTTGAAATTACTTAAAAGGCCCATATCTTGGAAAAAAAAACTTTTGAATTTAAAGAGTTTATAGTACACAAAGAGTTTAAGAACATACTGTTCACATCCCAGTCCATACAGTCCTTCAAAATCAGTCTATTTTGAATTCACTGTATCTCTGATGTCACAGCAAACCAAGCCATTCACATACATCTGCATATTTAGCCTACAGAGATTTAGCCACTTTAACCCACTGATATTTTGATATTCGATATGAATTGTTTACAATTGTGCACAAATAATGAATCAAATAATGATTTCTTTGCTAGTAAACATAACATGCTGTAAGTTTCTAAATGTTGAAGGTCAAACAGTGATTCTAAAACTGGGTGTAGGAGGCTGATAATGTACAACCTGAAGCAGTTAATGCTTAACAACATCACAACCTATGATCACGGGACGCAATATAAGGACCTCAGCAGACGGTATATACTGAAATGACCGTGACTGTTCAGACTTGTGACTGTGTTGCAATAACGTAATTAACCAGGTGTGGTGGTTCACAGGAAACATTATCAAAAAAGGATGCAGATGAAACTGGTGCAACAACCACGATTTCAAAACAGGTAACAGCTGATTAATTTAAGAAAGAGGGGGAAATCCAGAAAAAATCACAAGATCACAGGTATGACTTACTGAACTCTGGAGAGACAGAGAGAGAGAGAGACAGAGAGAGAGAGAGAGAGAGAGACTGATAGTACATGCTGCGTACATTTGGTTTCTAGATGGGTGCAGGCTGTTGTTGACAGCTAATGTCAGACACAAGAAAGGAGGTTGTCACGACCACATTCTTTGTTTTTTCTCTTTGTTAAAATGTCCCAGCTTGGGTCTTGAGCCGATGACATTTTGCTGTTTCTTTAAGACAACAGCCAGAGGAGGAGTTTAGTAATCACACCACCAGTTGCTCATTGGTCTCACAGGACATTCCGCATAATTCAGATACTACAGAGACGCAGAAGGGAGGCGGAGAGAGACGGTAATAGTAACAAACGAGGGAACGTGGTGAACTTGATCTGAACTGGACGGATGCTTTAGCAACCAGTTTCCAAAAAACCTGTAATTCTTGGCCTGATGCGCCGTGCTTGTGCTGTCAGTGACGCACTGCAGGCTTTCAGGATTGTGGGAGAGGAGTGGTAAGACTGGGATCACTTAGAATAAGGCGAGGGAGCGAGAGAGAGACTCTGGGCAATCCGCCCACTGTGGTCTGCTGCAACTATGTATGTGTGCATGTGTATATTCCTCCTTAAAGCATACCAGCTGTCCTGGATAGCTCTGCATTATGTTCATCCACAGCCCTGCTTTCCTTTCTAAATCCTCCACAGTGGGGGCAGGAGAATTCCAGCATGAATTCACATTCGTCATTACACTATGTAAGCTAATAGTAGAAACTCCCAGCACCACCAGAAAACCATAAACCCTTTATGTGCTGGAATATGAAGAAGCTGCTGGGATGCAGCAGTTAGCTTTTGCACAATAAAGGAAAGAACATTCTTAAGTTGCGCACTGTGTCGCACTGTATTTGGTTTTATAAGGTTAGGAAGGATACTTGCATCATTTATTGAAGGGGAATTACATAATTTTGTCAAAACCTTCAATGCTCTGTTCTAGAAAAACTTCCTGAGTCAGATTTGTTCACAGTGGTGGTGACAGGAACTAGACGTCCAGATTTATCACTGTTACACCATCGTCAACATTACATATAAGAACTCAGAAGACGTGTAGGTTCACTGGTGAATTTGGATAGTAAATAAAATGTCTTTATTTGTGTGGTAGACATGGCAACCCCTGGTTCCCATCACCACCACCGTAAAGAAATCTGAGTCTGTAAGTTTCTCTACAATGAACCATTTCCCATCAAACCACTTGTACAAACCATTTGTAATAAAGTATTATTATTATTATTAATAATAATACGCTCAATGCTGGGATAGGCTCCAGCACCTTCCGCGACCCAGAAGGATAAGTGGCTTAGAAGATGGATGGAGGGATGGATGGATGGATGGATGGATGGATGGATGGATGAACTACAGGCAACAAGCTTAAGTATGGCATTTTAGAGCACAATGTCAATTTATTGCTGATTTTACAAATTGGAAAAAAAAAAGTTATTTTCAACAACAACACATAGAGTTTGACCAGGGGCACCCAAACTTTTGCATAAACCTGTTCACATGGAGACATGCAAATACACAAAATAACATCACAGCTTAAACAGAATCTGTTACGTTTACGGGGCAAAAATATTAAATATGTCAGCCTTTTCTTGCTGCGCTTGGTATTTCTGATGACACATGATATTATAATGTTATTGCCCAGATAGTGGAAGATGTCTGAACATGAATATCAGTTAATATCAACCTCTATTCTAGAGTGTAAAACACTCTGTTCTGGACCCCGGCAACTCTAACCCTCGACCCCCACCCCTCTTTGGGTTTCCCATACATTCATTCGTTATTTACACCACAGGTGCTGAAAGTAGGTCATGTCCAGCCCCAGCTGACCTCCAGCTTAAACATGACCCTCAAACACTGGGAGGAAATCTTTGGCGGTGTATACGGTAAAGAACAGGACTTTGTGAAACATGTGAGAAACTAATTTTCCACTGGAATGTGCACTAAATCTCCTGAGACCATACAAGGACAAGCGTACGTTTTCCTTTGAGTGACGGGAAAAGGGGCCCTCCCTTTCTAAACTCTAATCACCGCATACAGTGCAGATTAGTTTCATAGTAGCCAAATAATTCATGGTATTTGCTAACAGAGGGTGAATCACATTGCATTCGCATTACATAACATAACATAGACGCTAACAGGATAGGTTTGCATGCTTACATTAGCAGGTAGGTATTTAACCAATATTCTACACAAGTAACCTAAATTTTATAAGTCAATTTATGTGGCAAATTAAAAGCATAAACAGTTAAAACAGTTGTATTGAAATTATAAGTGTAATCTAGCTAGTTTAGGTATGTTAAAAAAGCTTCTGTCTTTGGGGGTGTGAGGGTCAGGGAAATAAAGTCTTAATTAAGGGGGTCAGATACACATCAGCAATTTAAAATGTTTAGATTAACAGTTGGCAAATATAATCTGTAACCTCCATACGCCTGCATGACATACATGTACGTCATAAGGGGGTTGGAATTCAGCATGACACCTGTGGTCTAAATTCTGTGTTCAGCTTCACAGTGAAGTTTTGTTCATTTTTATAGTTCATACTGTGCTCTAAACTACATCAACGAAGACCTAATGAAGACCTGGGTGCGATTTGAGCAGGTTGAGAGAAGTTTTGGGGATGTATTTGAAGAGAGATTTGGGTGACTATTGACTTCTAGTATTAGCAATGTTAGCCTCATGGCTCCAGCAATAAACTAAAGATGCAAAACTGTGGAAACATGACTTGGTCATTGGACTACATTTGGGATAAGTAGTAAATTGTGTAAATTACATTTATTGTTGAACTACTCTTTTAAGAAGTATAAAGCTTGTGATGGCCCAACACTTCAAGAGGAACCGTCAAAAAGCGTTCTGATATCTGACACCATGAAGAGCTCAGCTTATCAGCATAACTGAGCGAAGCTATGATGACCTTGCCTGCTAGTTTCTCTGACAGTGCCTCCCGGATGTTTGAGTTCAGTCGTGTCAGGTTCATTGTCAAACTGAAAACTATACCAGACCAAAACTCTCACTAAAATATCACTTTCTTCTAAGTGAAAAATCCAACACACAACCCTAAGTAGGCCAAAAAGTCATAAACTAACTGACACGTGGCAAAGCAATATGTAGAAAAAAAAGTGGGTGTCCTACTGTGGAAAAGTCTGTTCATAGTATCTGGGTCAGCAAGCAAATTCTGAGTACTTGGGCCCCTTTCTGGTCATAGTGGACTAAATAACACTGGACAGTACAATATAGCTGCCCCCTGGAATGTGAATCACCTGACTCTCATTTAAACATATTGTCTTTCAGATGCTTTCACATTATTATCATATTAAGAAATCCCATACAGACACACATATACATACACTAATAAGTAGAAAATATGGTTAGGCATCTCACATATAAGGGAACAAATCCCATGTGAGGCGTTAGAGCTGTGGCCCACCACATCCTGACAGACGTGACAAACTGCTAAAGCGGTGTGGCTAAGCTGATGAAAATAAGTAACTCTAAAACAAACATCCGTAAAACTCACTACACTAAAAGAGAATGGAGATTCTTAAGGCCTGACCTACATGAATACATTGTCATGAATACCAATACTAGTTTTACAGAACTGCAAATTGTTGTAATTTTATATGGCCAAAAATCAAACACTCCACTATTTTCAACAGTGCTTTACTGACTGATGTTGCTTGATGTTGTCTGATCAAATAGAATCGCATTCTTGAATGTGTTTTTTATATAACTTGTAGTGTTTCACTTGTAAATGATACTTCAGACTTGATGTACGTCAGTGATAAACAAATTCACAGCACTGCAGTTGCGTTAACGCAATAAATTATTAACGTCACTATTTTTTTTAACATCATTAATGCATTTTCCTAGCTTTGACTATATTTAGTAGCGTAGGCTAAAGCTCAGCTGCAGCTGTATGTTACTTTGCCTCCATGACTCATTCAAATACAGCTTTTAAATGGCAAGTTCCATTGATGTCTCTCTTGATAAAACCAAAGTTATTTCTAGCTACTGCCATACTGTGAATTTGTTCATCATCAAAGTACATTTACAAGCATCATTTCCAAGCAAAACACACAGGACGGTGCTCACAGGAGACTTACGAGCAGCAAATGCAACAGCAAAGTGTAAGGAGGAAATCCTGTTCCCCTTGCTCATTTGATAAACACTGCATTCACACAATGTAAATAATAATACTGAACTACTCAGAGTAATAAATACATTCTGTTAAAGCTTATCTTGCCCACTTATACAGCTATAACAAAATGCACAGCTTTTTAAATGGAAAAACTTCTTATATACACTTTAAATGGTGGTTCTTCAAGGGTTCTTTAGAGAAATGGTCTATATAATGGTCTATATAATGGTCTATATAGAACCATGAACCATGCACACTCAAACCCCTTGCATGATTAAAGGGTTCTTTGCAATGTAAAATGATTCTTCAGATTGAGAATGTGCTGTAGATGGCTTTTTGATAAGGGTTCCACAAAGTGGCAAAAAGGGTTCTTCTATTGCAATATGTATGTATGTATGTATGTGTGTGTGTGTGTGTGTATATATATATATATATATATATATATATGTATATATATATATATATATATATATATATATATATATATATATATATTTATATATATATATATAAATGTGCAGAAGTGTGTTCTCTGTTTCATTTTCAACAATACATGTCATTTGACCAGAATTGACTAAACATTTGCAAACAACTGTGTGTGAAGTCTGAATACTGAAATACTGGTAATTTAAATTGGCTGAATGATATATCAGTCAAATCCCATTGATCATAGAATCGCAGCACACTTCTGCAAAGTACTACAGAGGAGCCTCATAGGAATATATAAGTGAATACTTTTCCATTAAAGCATTTATACAAATTCTATTTCAGGGCATTGCAGCTTAAATGAGTGCATTTTACTCTTCTACACATTGAGAAGCTCCCCCACTATACCAGCTCATTCCATCTTTCATTACAAACCTGTGCTCTTCCTTCCCCTGTGCCTTTTGTGGGTTTACACGAGTGCTATGTTTACTTACAGAACGTCAGAGTAAAGTTCACGGCCTGGCCTGTGTCTCTTTTCAGGGTAAATTTATAACCACAGTGTCATATGCATGAAAGTTGAGGCCTAGCTCCATCCCCACCTACAAAAACTACATCAGTAGCTAATACTAAAACAGATCTGTAAAACAAGCGACTCCCAGTGGCCTCGATTGTGAGGTGTTTCATTGCATATGTATAAGAGCCATTGTGAGGTATAAGAGCCTGCAGGTGCAATCTAAGTGATTAGTATGCAGACATTCATGTGATACTTCCATTATGCCTTTTAAAGTGGCATGAACACCCCTTGGACTGGTTAGTCGCCCCATTTCAGAGCTCATTCCATGGCAATATATGACAGTAAGAAAGTGTGTGTGTGTGTGTGTATGTGAAGGGGTGGGTGTAACGTCTTTATCAGGAGTGACCTTGCATATTTTGAGGCAGTACAGATACAGACCCTGGTTAGAACAGCCGTTAAGAGAAGTACCACTCTCTTCCAAATTATGCAATTTCCTGAGGAGGAAAACTGGGCGTATAGAATAAAAAGGACCATGTATGTCCCAACATGTGCCAAAATGCTCTTTTATTGAGCTAAAGTTACAAAATATCAATGTTAACAAATGTTAATCACCATAATTAATGCGTCTATGGCAAGAGATTTCATACAAAAGGTGGAATACATCACAGTCGAATGAAAAATAAGCACAGATATAATGTTAAATCCTCTAATTCAGGGCCATCATTGGTTTCTGGCCGCACCCAGCACAGTTAAACCGGCTTTTTTTCTCTCTGCCACGCCCACTAATCAGCAATGCAGCATCCACAACGCACAACAAACCAGCTAGCTCTCCTATTGGCTGAGGAGCCGCGTGCTATTTCTGAGTGACCAATCAGCGCGACGAACGCTCATCCCATTGATTCCATTCTGGAAAAAATCCATTGAGGAAGTTAAATGTGACGGTAAATAGCGAAGGAAAGTGAGTAATGGTACGTGCTAAAGGGCTAAATTTCAGTGTAAATCTGTCCATGTGCTGCTGTAGTGTGGAACTGAGGTGGAACACAAATCGTGGAACAATCTAGAATGACAAAGTGGCATGCCCCCCCCCCTTCATCTAGCTTTAATTTACCTCCTCTGGTGGTTCAGATAAGGACATGGCACAGAAATCCACAGTAAATACAAATACACTGATGACTAACTTAGCTTCAAGTGGCTTGCCTTTATTATACATGCTAAAATGTGACATACATGTTTTTTTCCAAGTTATTTTCAAGTATAAAATACATATAATGCGTGTAATACAGCACCTATTACTCACTATAGCCTACATCTATATATCAATCTATCTATGTTTGTTTCATTTTACTCTAGATTTTACACGCTGAAGTTATAAGATGCTACTTTTCTGTGATGCTGCTCTTATCACGGGCAGATGCTCCAGATTAGATGAGATGAATGTAAACGCTAAATTGTACTTACGCGTTAAAGCCACACAGGCGAGCCCGACCAGCACAAAGCTCAACATCCACCTCAGCAGCATCTCCGCGGCTTTGCCTTCAGGACTTCGGAAGGGGGACGGCAGGCAGGATGCGGACCAGGCTGTAGGCTTAAGTCTTTCTTCTAGGTGGAAGCAGAGACCAGCGAAACTTGTGTGTCCTTATGACTGTGGCGTGTGAGAGACGTAAAGTGTCCTCGTGCGATAGCAGCGTCTCATTGAACTGGCCGGTGGGGAATCTGACCGGTTTCAATGTGGTCCTCTGGGGGCGGGGCTTAGAGTGGTGTGATATTTGAAATGCGGCACATCATCGTGTGTGGGCGGGGCTACGCACACACGCCACACACTGTTGATGATGTCCTTATCTGAGGGACAAGTTTACACTTTATACACCACCAAAGCACACAGGGCTGTAAATGTATGTATGTTTGAATGGCTCACAAGAACAATAGTGTGAGTATCTGTGAGGATCTTGGCCCTATATGTTCCATATTTAAAATGAATGAAGGACTAACCACCAAACCATCATCTGAGAGTCTTTTAAAGTATTCAGCAGCCAAAGAAATGCTAGTGTTGAATACTTTTGAGTGGAAATATATAATCAATGCAGAAATGCTGTACACATTTTTATCCATTACTGCAAAATTAAATTCAAAGGGGAATTCCACCAATTTTACAAAAAATAGTTAAGATGTAATCAAGGTCATTCAGAGTGCTTTTGTTTGAAATCCTTTATTCTAGAGAAACTGAGTCAGAACTGTTCACAGTGGTGGTGATAGGAACCAGACATCTGAAGAGTTTATTGCCTCTTAAGAGCTCCCTCATAAAACATTATGAGACAAAATGGTCATGAATATGCTGCCTAATGCCTGAGACATTATTTTACGAAAGGTTTGTGATAAAGTTTTGGCCATCTTGTTAATCCATTTATTTTAATTCCTTCATGGCAGAGGGGTAACAGGGGTAATAGGGGCAAAAAAAAATTTTTTTTTTTTCAGATTTTCTGCTATTTTACAATCATAAACATTACATATAAAAAACTTAAAGGACATAGAGGTTCACTAGTGGTTTTGGATAATAAACTGCCTTTAGTTTCTATCACCACCACTCTAAGTAAATCTGAGTCTGTAACTTTCTCTACAACAAAAAATTTACATCTAACAACACTGGACTTTGTTTACATCGCAGCGATTAATTTGGGCAAAAATTTGGAAAAATCTGTGGATTCCCCTTTAATATGCAATCCCTATGCACAAGACTATGGTGCTTATTTACGTCTGTATGGACACACTGAGCATCTTCTGAGCACTATGATTGAACCGGCATCAATCACACCAGCAAAACTCCACCTCCTACAGCCACTTACATGGTTCCATATCTCCTCCCCCCATCAAAACACCATCCCCAGGGGGGCACAGTTCCCTCCTGGTGTTCCATCTGGGAAATCTGAAAGCCTGTAATTTTGGCTTGGCTTTTTAAGATGTCAACAGATGCTTTGTCCAGGTAATGAGATACATAATAAATATTTATCCTGCCTCGAAACTGTATGTATAAGTAAGTAAATAAGTAAATAGTATTGTGAATTAGATAAACATGAACTGGAAGGTGAACTTTTCAAATGATTAGAAATGTAGGACTAGTGCCTTGACTCCCTATTCATTTCCTAATCTTAAGATTTATTATTCAACAACTACTATGGATGATTCAGTAACTACTATTGAACTAATAAGTTTGGAAAAAGTTCGGTGGTTATGAGAATGAGGGCCCACATACAGGCCTTAATGATTTAAGAGGTGAAAACTGTACTAGAAACATACTACAAACAATGCTGCTTTTCCTTTGAGGAAACTAGTAAGAAATAATCATTATCGGAAACGTTAAGAATTTTTACTCTCTTCACAGTCTGAATATTTCTCCCACTTCTCATGAAGAATGATGCCATTTGCCACAACAGTATTTGCAGCATTTTCCCTCTGAGTGCAGAGATAAAAAGTCACCAGTACCTTTGAGCTTCAGCCGTAGACCAGACCAATCGTATGTGCGTAAAACAGGTGGTGTGATCGAACACCAGGCTTTCACCACACAGCCCAGATCTGATAATAGCTACTGAATTTACCACACAGTGTCAGAAAATGATTACATAATCTCACAGTCTGATGTATATATATGTGTGTGTGTGGAAATGATGTTCATATTTCAGTCAAGGAAATTCCCAACACTTTTTTCATTGCAACAGCAAAATTAGACTCAGTGTTCAGCAGAGGTGAGGGAACGAGACTTTGCATACAATAAATCTGACACAGCTCTGAAAAAGAAGACATCTGTTTATTCAAATCTTCCTCTTCTCCCCCCAGATTTGCAAATGATTTGAAAATTCAACAATATTGGATTCTAAACATAATAGAACTTTCTGGTGTGATCATCTTCAGTCAGGTGAGTGAAACGTGATATATTGAGATATTATTACTAACCCCAGTTCTTAAGTCTAAAGAATTATTTAGTAACTACTGTGAATCTATGTAAGTTATGTAATTATGAGATTGTGGGGAGGGTTTATCCATGCTTTGCCCACAAATGCACTCTTTCATAGCAACTGTTGCTAGGCTGGACAAGCTTTACAGAACACTGACAAAAATCCCTTTAACATTATAAGAAATTGTAGCACATAACTCAATTAGAATAACTAAAGTTATACTATGTTTTTAATTAAAAATGAAATTTACACTGATAGATTTACACTAGTAGATTGGGTGTAGCTGTCATGTAACCTCATGTTAGCACAGTGAACTTGTGGTTGTTGTTTCCTTCCTGCCTGGTTTTAAAGCACTACAACAAACTCCAGTTCAAACCTAAAGCATTTTAAACTGGAAACCTAATGTAACATAGTGAATCTAAACTCTAACTAAACTTCACTATGTTTAATGTGATGTTCTGTAAAGCAATATTGCAACAGTTGCCACAAAAATGCAGAACATAGGTCAGTTGAAACGTTGGCCCACATATGTGCACAATTTTCCACTAACCCCAGATGCTGCCAATCAGCTGAGACAGTTCTGGTGTCTAAATTCTGCTTCTTTAGTTTTATACTAGAGCTATGAGGCTAACTTGACAATGTTGCTACTATAAAACTGCTGCCAGGTAAATAAATATATCGTTGCTGTCCAAAGGAAAACATGTATCTCCATTTTTGTCAATTTTTAGTTTTCTGCATCATTTGAACACAGTGACTATCCTTTACAATGTGTGAAAATTTCATGATGAATGGACCAATAGCAATGCCCAAAAATTACTTGGAATAAGATATCTTTACATTGACCTACATTGAAAGTAAAGAATGTTTTTGCCTTCTCCTATAAAGTTACCATTTTGGAGATGCTTGTTTTTCTTTGGACAGCAACGATATGTTACTGTGTTTGTTACAAGCTTCAACTTAAACATAATGTCTTTTACAAGCTTCAAACATACATGTTTAATCTAAAATAGCCAAAAATGTTCATGTGAATTGCCATTAGCTTAGCGCTAACATTCCAATAGAATTCTACAAGGATGCAAGCAGAAATTAGCCTTATTGTATTGTGTTGATTTTCCTCGTTTTTGACTGAGTTGTTGACATTTATGACCTGAATTGAAAGCCAAGCTCTAATATGCACAGTGTAGCTGATCGCTGGGGCAGCCAGTAGTTGTATCTAAAGCTTTTTTGACTGTGTTTATTAGCAACATTAGTCTTGTAGCTCCACTGCTACGCTAAAGAAGCAAAATTTGGACACTAAACATGTCATGGCTGATCAAGTACATCCAGGGTAAGTGAAAAACTGTTTCAATCGGATTTCAGCTGACCATTCCCCTAATGGAAGTGATAACAAAATTATGCTAACTTTGAAACACCCCTCATGTGGTTAATGTTTCATCAGTGCTGCTGTAGGTTTCTGTGTGCTAACAGAAAACTGATTGTGTGCCCCTCTTATCTGCACAGTGTGTGTGTGTGTAAGTGGGTGTGTATGTGGGATAGCCCGCTTATGAGCTCATGCTGTTCTTGTAGAGAGAGGGAAGCATGAGAAAAATGCAGAAAAAGCTGCTGAACCACATAGCACTGTAGCCCCTCCTCTACGCGCATACCACACCACACACACACAAACACAGCCATACAATGAAATGTGTGTGTGTGTGAGTCAAGACCCTGACTAACCTGCCCTCTGTTAATGATTGCAGAAAAGATGGGTATGAGTGGTGGACAGTCCTTCACTGCCATTACAGTATGATTCACCATGTGACACTCTGTGACCACACCATGTGACCACTGCGCACACACGCACACACACACACACACACACACACACACACATGTACAGACTGCCTCCATGCTGGTCTTAGTGTCTACACACATGACTTGTAAAGGGGAATTCCACCAATTTTTCAAAATTTCTGCATAATTCATAATCAATGAGATGTAAACAAAGTCATTCAGAGTGGTTTGATGTGAAATGATTAATTGTAGAGAACCTACTGACTGAAGTGTGAACGCAAAATACACTAGATTACACTAGTCTAGATTACAGCCAGCAAACTGAAAGTTTTTGTGACTTTTTTTTTACAGTTTACATTTTTTTTGTTTAATTTTGCAAACAAAAAATATACAGCCTGATAAATACAGCATGATGAGCAAAGCAGAATGTGTTTATATAGTCAAATTTTAAATTTTTCAAGAAAAAAGTGCCGTTCCTTTGATGGATTTTCATACATGATTCAGAAATTAAGGATCTATTGGCTACTCATGCTGAGCAACGTCATCTCCTGTTTACCAGGATTTTCATGGGATGTAAACAGAATACATGTGCATCCCGGTAAAATGCTATAATAAATAACATAAAGCCTGAACATTACTGGTAAAAGTATCCCATACCAGTGTAAAACAATGTTTTAGGCATCAGGTAGTGCACTTCACATGTTTGGTTCCTATCACCATCACTGTGAACAATTCATAATCGGTATGCTTATCTAGAATGGAGTATTTCACATCAAAGCACTGTGAATGACTTGGTTCACATCTAAACCAGTTAAATTATGCAGAAAATGTAAAAAATCTGAAAATTCCTCTTTAAACTGAGTTTTGAACATGGTTATAAATTCTAGTGGGGAATGTGATTTACAAAACAAACATGTTAATATATATTTATATCATCTGACATTGTTATATGAAGTAATGTTTTGCTGGACTGAACTTGCTTATTTAATCACGATTATTCATTTATTCATTCATCATTCATTTATTGATTTTCTTCCCTCGTCAGTGTTTTTGCATCTTTTAGATTCAGTAATTCTCTTCTGTTTTTGCCTTTCTTTTTAATCCAGAGACTACAGTGTGTTCATGTTTTTGGCCTGGTCCATCCCAGTCCTCTAAAAGGCGTTAACTTCAGCACTCATTCATCCTCATTAATCTATCTTTGTGTGGATCTACGGGTGTTACCAGTGACTCAGAATAGCTTAGACTGTGCAATGATACTGCGCAACATTTCACAATTAGGCAATTTTCGGAGTAAAGGAAATGTACATTTTTAAACAAACTGGACATGAAACTGTCAGTGATGGAGCCTCTATGACCCCTATGATGGATGGCCAGTAAAAATCTGCCTTCTAATGTTGTTGGATGATCTGATGTCCTACAGTGAAAAAATGTTTCATGATTTAAATGTCAGGTGGTTGTTTATTTAATTAGGTCCACTTACCATAGACGTGCACCTGCTGTGTGGTGGTTTTGTGGTGGTCCTGACTTTACCACTAATAAACAGGGTAAAGGCTGACATATTATGCAGAGAAACAGATGGACTACAGTCTGTAACTGTAGAACTACAAAGTGCTCCTATATGGTAAGTGGAGCTGACAAAATGGACAATGAGCATAGATACAAGGTAGGTGAACCTAATAAAGTGGCCAATGAAAATATGTTACATCAACTCAGTTGCTGCCTTTTAGTTTACTTCTTTTGGCAGGAACTGTATTGATGTAACACACTTTATTCTATGCGATGTGCAACCATTCAACACATTTGAATCAGGCAAACTCAAAACACTGCTTTGCTATAAGGGTGTTGTAAGTATTTTGTAGTCTGAGGCATGTTTAGCTAGCTAGCATGATCTATTTTGGTTCCTTTCTAATAGTGGCCTAATTGTTGCTAAAGGTAAACTGCACTTAGGAAGCATTAAGAAAAAAAAGATTTATCTACTATTGGCCACTGAAACCGTCCTTTCCTCAGACATTATGAAGGCCGGGTTGCCAGATTTGCTGGTTTCTTACCAATTTGGGTGTTTTGGTTGGAATGTGCCTTGGCGGGTGGACAAAATTTGGTCTGGTGTGTCATGATTTTGTGTTTTCTTAATAAAGTACATAAAATTAATGAACTGCATTGCATAATAATGCAGCTGGAATTTGAGTAAGCCTATCCTCTCCCCACATCAGCTACCAGTTGCCCCAGCCATCAGCAATGGCATGACCTGGCATGAATTGTCCATATATGTATGTGAGAAATAGTTATGCTTCTTTCTTTTTTTGCAATATTATCATTATTGTTTACCTTTTTCTAGGTGGAGTCTAAAAATTGCATTTAAAAAACTGCAAACTTACTATTTCACTATTTTGCAAACAGTCAATTGTAATTATGACTTGTAACCATAAATGTCACATTTACATTATTTCCAACAGCACATGAATAGACCACAAGACAAAGACTTATTCAGACTCTTACAATGTTTAGTTAGCATTTTATCTCTATTTCATTCTCTATATTACTGCTGTCTGTCTCATGTTTCTTTCACAGCTGTCCCTCATGTGTTTTTTTCTGATGAAGACGGAGATGATCACAGATACAGAGAGGGAAAGAGGAACTATTATGGGGAAGATGTGTCAGATTTCATTCTAGGCTTTACTGATAAACACATTCTAATCATTCTGTAGCAGTGCTGTGTTCTATGATTCAAATCAAACAGTTAACAAATCAGATGAGCTTAACTGAGTCTCTGATTCGCTCATTAATTCACAGTTCTCTCTCTACACATTTCTTTTTTCCTATTTCTCTCTCTCCCCTTCCTTCCTCTTTTTCTCCCTTTGCCCCCTCCCTTTCCCTTCTTTCCTATCTTTTTCCTCTCTCACCTTCTCTCCCCCTCTCTCTCCCTCATTCTTTCATTTTCTCATTCTCCCTGCATTTCGTATCTTTCTCCCTCTCCCCATTTCAGCCACTTGGTCAGTCTCACTCTCTCTCGTACTCTCTTTAGATCATTAACTGAGACTATTCTGACGTTTAATATAATGTCACAGTATGTTAATCTATGGGTCAAACAGAAAAACAAAGTCATATGGGTCATAATCCAGGGAAGATCATGGAAGATAAACAACCACAATTTAAGGACACATTCTTTTAGCATTCAAAAAAAGGCAAAGCAAACTTGTAGTGATTAACTCATCCACTCAGCATTTCAGACCTCCTCTATGTACATTTATTTGTCTATGGTTTTGTGTTGTACTTTGTGTAAGAGTGTAAAGTATTTTGTTGTAATATATTCTTGTTGCTGCTTTCCTGTATTTCCTATATTTTTATGTGTTTTATGTGTAGAATGTAATATTTCCATATGGCAGCACTAAAGAGAAAATTCCATTTTATGGAAATGAAATGGACAATAAAGTCTACTCTATTATTTTCTGTTCTTTTCTCTCCCTCTCTTTCTTTTTTCTCTCTTCCTCTCTCTCGTTCCTTTTCTCTCCTTCCCTGTCTTTCTCTCTCTGCCCCCCCCCACTCCTTCTTTCTTCTCCGTCTCTGGTCGACGTCAGCAGGCTCTGGGCAGGCGCTCAAGAACATCAAGATTTTCCTAGAAGTCCCTCTTCCTTCCAGCAGTTACAGTTTTACAGGAACAGAGCGTATCTTTATTCACACCCCCAACACAGTGACCCACCATGGATGCCTATTCATACAGCACATGCCAAAAAACACACACACACACACACACACAGGAAGAGCCACATCCTGAATAGCGTTTATGCTTGATTTTTATGAAGCTGAAAACAGGGTCAGTTTTTCCCGTACAGAAAACGCATGATTACAAGAAATGCTCTGAAATCAAAACTCAAGAAATTAGCACTCTAGCTCATCAGCACGTGCCCTCAAACTGCAGGCGTATTATTATTTAGTTATTAATCTTAGAGTTAGACTTATCATTATTGTTTTTCTGAACAACATTTCCTTGTTTAACTTATTATTAATCAATACTACTATTACTACAATTTTGTTATTATTTTGTCATTTGTACATTTGTATTTCCTTTTGCGCTGTTCTCTTATATATGTTAACTTTTTTTTTTACTTTTTTGACATTTTAAAGCATTTTTAAAGCACTAAAGTTATAATAATAATAATAATAATAATAATAATAATACTTGCTATTATTATTATTTGTTTTTTGAAGTGTTTAAATGAGGTTTCATTGCCCCCTAGAGGACACTGATGTGTATTACACATTGAAACATTTTATTAGCTTTATTATGGGGGGGATCCAACTGTACTGCATGGTTTGGTATTTTTCCTGTTTTAAATGTTCAGTCAATTCATCAGTTAACAATAAGACCATTTCAGAGTTGAAATATATGTGTTAGAACAGGGAAAACACTACTAGACCTTAAACATGAACATGCATGTCAGATAATCACGAACATCAAGCTGCACTGGAGTATTTTATTGTTATTTCTGAGCGTTCACTGACACTCGATACAGAAAAAGTCGTACGCTTCGCTCTCTGCACAGACAGATAGTCGTTTGAACGTCACCACAACAGTGGAGACATCCACCAGCTCCATTTTTTAAAAACATGGACAAAATCTACATAACATCAAGTTCCATTTCTACAAAAGTAAAACTCACACTTAAGCCTACAGTGCTTTGGCATGCTAGTACAGAGCGGTGCACATTCAAAAACAACATTGATATTACATTTGATCTAAAATACGCTCTTATCCAGAGCAACTTACACGTCAAGACTATCCTTTTTACCAATGGTGTGTCACTTTTCAAGAATTCGGGTTGAGACACATGGAGCTCAGTGCTTCTTACACACTATCTTGGTGGCAGTCTTAACCTTTTCGTTAAAAGTACCTCAAGTTGGGGATAAAAAGCTGACATTTTAATGGCTCAAGCACTAAGCACTCAAACACATGCAGCTGGACGTTACTCTATTGTGCATCAAGCTTATGACTTAAAATGCCCCAAAACTTACATCAGCACAATACCGTAAACTATATACTGTGCTACGTAATTCACGCACACACAAACTGCTGGCAGTACATGCCAGCCACTTCGCTCAGTACACAAATGGGTCCACAAGGGGCAGTGTGCTACGAGCTGTGTCCACATTAAAACATTAAAGCACATGCAGGCATTTACACTAACAGTACACGTTTTGGTTTAAGATGACATGTTTTCATTAGATACAACAGTATAGGCAATTTAGTTATAGCTATCTAACCTAATTCACTTCCATACTGCACAGAAATGCTAATCATGTCCGTGTCAGTGACTAGCCTGTATAAAGCTCCAATCAGGACATTTATTAGACCTCAATTACATGTAAACATGCCAATATGCTCTTGAAATGGGCCAAAAATGACAAATAAGAGGAAAACGAAACTCCGGGACGAGCGATGCTCTAAAATGCGCTCTAAAAAAATTCCAAATATTTTCATTCCAGTAGTGGTTTTTGTGCATACTTCTCCAGTCTCGTGTGCAAGCTGTGAAAAGCACCTCAAAGAAAAATCTGGTCCCAAAGGTCCTGATTAAGGCTTTAAACTTGTAGTACCTGGCAGGGGACATTGAGTATACGCAGTCTCTTTATCCCTGCTCTTCCTCACTGGCACTGTTGGAGCGCTCCTGAAACACATTTGTGACGTATAGTTACAACATATTATACAAGATATATATATATATATATATATATATATATATATATATATATATATATATAGCAGCTTTAAAAATCATACATGCATTTCTTACCTCCTCCTGCTCCTCCTCAGTATCATCATCACTGACCACAGGTTTGGCTCTGGTTCTCCCGCCCCTCCTCCTGCCTTTGCCCCTCTCTACACTGCGCTCTTTCCGGCCCAGTTTAATCTTCACCTTCACAGAGCGCGCTGCCGCACACAGCACCACACAGAAATAGACACAACGAGTCAAAAAGCAGTGACACTGCAGCATTACATAACTGATGATTCAGTTAAGTCTTCACTAGAGTGGGCCACAAATACAAGTTCTCCGATCAGCTCAGAGGCGAAGCTGCCGTCTGGGATCACATCACACCACAAGAGGGAGCTAATGGCACTTTCGCATGTATTTGCAGTTGCTGCCATTTAAAAGTCTGGAATTCAGTAACATGAAGCCAATTTCTTTGCAAATAATGTTTCTGAAACTATGCTTGATGTTAGTACTGTATAACTACATAGGTTTCAAATAATTCGTAAGAAGCTGTAGATGACTGACGAAAGCTCTTTATTCTATATTTATTCTTCAATAGCTGCTAAAGTAGCAGCTACTCTTTCTGGGGTCCACCTAAACATAACATATATAACAAGGCGTATATAAGAAATGTAATAAGTCTCAAAAAAACATATTAAATTGGTTAATAAACGATAGGGTTTTTCTTCATGTGTTTAAAATTGCCTTTCTGGGTGCTTCAGTGATCATGACTGACAACATGTTCCACATTGTGATGGCCATATACATTACAGATCTGCACACTGCACCTGTTCTCGGTTTTGCTTTCACTAGATAACCCTTAGTAGCCTGCCTGGTAGTGTAACTATGTCGATATCTCACTAATTTATTTGTGAGTACAATTTGCTTGTTTACTATAACAAATATTCCTAAAGAAACCTGTGATATTGCACGCCAACCTCTCCTCTACTCTGAGCCATGAGACACCAGCATGCAATCCCCGTACTCTGCCTCACACCTGGCAGACAGGGCAGTGCGAGCCTTGCAGCTTTATTCTGAGCTATTTGAAGCTTAGACAGATCTTTTTTGGCTGCCTGACTGCTGAGCAGTAATCAAGGTGAAATAAAACTAATGCCTGTGTCACTAGCACTCTAGAGGTAGGGGAAAGAGAAGAGGAACATCTTCTGATATACCTCTACCTATTTTCTGAACAATGTTTTCAATATGTGTTTCCCATGAAAGCTGCCCAGTGAGCCTCTCTACAAATGACTGAGAAAGCCCCACAGCATGAAGAAAAACTTAAATAGCCAGATCCCCTTACAGGTAATGTAGTCATCAAACCTAAATGCAGATAACCTGATCTATAATTAAATACAAATAGATAATTCCAGGATATTATACTGAAGCACTGTAATGAAAATTCTTGACCAAAACCAAGACACACTCGGCCAAACACCGGGACCGAAAACAGAATGAAAGGAATTCATACTTTTGGATTAATGTATGATGCTAACAGTACTTCAAAGGTGATAATCGCCATCTTGAGAAAGAGAACTGAGAGAACTAGAGGACTACTTCAATATTAAACGGTTGAACAGTTGTAAAATTACACAAATGTAATACGTAATTGTTTCCCAAAGAAAGCTAA